CATTACATAATCTGATGATGAACAATTCAAATGAATCATCTTCATTAACACCATTAAGGTACCAACACAAATACCATACCACCACCACCACCATGTCCACCATTGTTGTCATTGTCATCATCAATATTATCTTCATCCATCATGATCAACGTTATCGTCCTCATTACCATTATTATGTTATACATTTATTTATTTCTATATTCTTTAGCTAAGACGTTTGTTCAATAGGATATGTACTGTTCTCCAACAGAGCCACCTATTACTGTACAACAAAATCTTTGACTGTATGATATAAACATATTACAGTACAACAAATACTACAACAAAATCTCTAACTAAACAATATAAACATATTACAACAAACAATATCAGGATAAAAAGTAAAATCACAATAAAAAAAAATGCTGAAAAGTTTACAAATTAAACAAGTTAGAATTTTCGAAAATTGTGTTAAATTTAAAGAAATTAGATAAAACAATAAAAAATGAATAAAAATCGGTAATAAGATTAAAAGAATTGCTGGCCTCGTAAGTAACCCTCCTCCCAGAAAATGAGTGACATTATTCTCATCATTATCATATTATCATTATTATCATCATTGTGTTACCTTTCTTGAGGTGTAAGTGCACCCTCTTGCTTGCTTTTCTTAGCAGCTCCTTGTTCATTATCACTTCTCTCTTGTTTCCTCTTTGCTGCCATTGGATCTGCTTTAGGCTTAGCAGGCTAAAGATAATTTTTTACAATTAACATCATACTTTCTATGTGCTAGATGCTTCCTCGTTTACTCAACGTATTTATTCTACAACATTTTTTTTTTAGTTTTCACAATGTTTTTATTCAGTTTATAAAAAATTGCAGTGATGCAGTAAGTATAAAGTAAGTTGCCTTATTACTATTTATATTATTTGTTTTAAATATTGTCTTTATGAACACACCGTCATTATGCTATGCGTGATTTGTGCCGCCGATATAAAGGCATATTTTTTCCAAATAAAGTAAAAAACATACCTTTGCTTTCAATATCTGGTTCTTCCATTTGTGACCATTCAAAACCCTCAGAGCTTCTTGACGATCCTCTTCACACCTTAAACAAATAATTAAATAATGACAAAAATTTAAATAATGAAATTTTATATACAAAATAATAACATGATAGCAATTTATATACCAAAGAATTTTATACACGATAGCAATTGAGGATACATACATGAATGTGACAAATGCGTATGTCCCTCGATTAACAGCTTTCACCTTCTTTGGTTTAAGGTTCAAGTTGATGATCATCTTTTTTAGTTGCTATGGAAACAGACAGTGAAGAGACATTAGAATGTTAAATTATTTCTTTTTTAATAATGATTATAATTATTCATTAAAAATTAGAATAACTGGTCTAATAGAAATACAGTTGATAACTGGTCTAATAGAAATACAATACAATAGAAATACAATAATAGAAATACAATACCCTTTCCCACTATTGTATTTCTATTAGACCAGTTATCAACTGGTCTAATAGAAATACAATAGTGGGAAAGGGTATGATGCTTAT